TGCCGGAGATGGTGACATCAAACAAAATTTTATAGGGTGTTATGCAGAAGAGAGTTGCAACTTTTTTCCTCCTCTCCCACAGGAGTGCTTGCAGATGATAAACAGGGAGGTAGTCACAAGCCTGGAAGAGGAGCAGAAGGTACAGGGGAGAAGGAGGCCCATCTTGACAGGGTCAGGGAGGGGGACACCAGTGGTATGTCTGTGCACCCCAGGAGCCATAGGCAGCAGCATAGCTGGGGGGACATTTACTTTGGGGTCTGCTAAGGAGGGGTTGGGCCTCTGGAGATGCCCCAGGCTATTGGCTGTGCTGTAGAGGGGAGCCTGATGTGGATCTCTGTCAAGGTCTGACTGGGGAAAACCCAGTGTTGGACCTATTTTGTTTGTGATCCCCAGAGTGAAATAAAAACACAAGTGAGGTCAGGTACTGTAATTGGTCAGCTTGCTTATTATGTAAAGACAATTATTATAAAAAAGAAGATCTTATTAAGAAAGATAGCAATAGGACAGATTGGAAAAAAAAAAAAGACAGAAATTAAGCAAGCATTCAGTGTGCAGAGAGACAGCAGACGCTACTGTGGATCCAGCGGCACCTCGAAGGTCCGTAGCTGTTGTCTTCAGTGGTGGGTGTCCCCCAGGGTCTGTAGTCAGCATCAGTGGAGGGTGCTCCCAACGGCGATTACCTTTTCCCCCTTCTATTATGTGTTGGGGGGGGGAGTACCTCTGTTCTTAATGTCACATACTGCACATTACTGGTGGATCACAGCAGCCAGCTCTCCAACTGCACATCTGCCAACAATCCTTGAGATAATGGGCAGCAGTTCCTCACACCAGTCCTTGAGATAATGGATTGTGGGGTCTTACCTCAGCTCCTCTCACTCACCTCTCAGGCAATGGAAGGTGGAATCCCATCTCAGTTTCTCATACCAATCTTTGAGACAATGGATGGTGGAGTCTGATTTCAGTTCAGTCTCACAGTCTGCAGGCACAGCACCATGGCTTTGGGGAAGGAGGTGGGATGAGTGACCCTCACTTGTGCTCCTGGGGATGCTGTGCAGAATGGGAATGCTTCTGACACTGGCCCAGTCTGTGACTGCATCCAGAAACCCCTCAGGGGCGGCCAAGCTGCTGGGCAATGGTGCCAGCACCAAGACACCTGGGTGCTACCACCCTGGCCCTGCCCTGACCTGCCGGGCCCTGGACACTTTGACACCCTTTGAGGCTCCCTGTGAAGCATCCCTCTTGCTTTCCAGAGGCGGCAGTGGTCAGAGCTGGCAGGAGCTGTTCAGGAGCAGGCTGAGGTCAAGAAGGTACTGGGGACAGGAGGGACAAGGGCTCGACATTATTGTGGGGGAAAGGCACCCCCAAGCAGGCATGGCATGGACTCCTGAGCGGGCTCTTTGCTTTTCCAGCTGCTCACGAACAGGCTCAACCTCCTCCAGCAGAAATGCGAAGGCTTCCAAGAGCCAGCAGCTTCATGGACAAGGAGGAATAAGATCATTTCTTGGCTGCAGTGAGTTGCCCTGGTGTCCAGGGCTCTTCCGTAGCTGGTGGGATGTCCATGCCAGAGGTCCATGGGCATTAGGCAGCTTTGGACCTGTCAACGATCAAGTGTTTCAGTATTTATTTTCTTCCTAACTTGGGGGGCATGTAGGAGGGGATTTTGAGACACACTGGCAACACCAACAGCAGAGTTGAGACAGATGCTCAGACCCCTCATCCCAGTCCTGAGTGTAGCCTGTTGTGCCCAGCATAGCACAGGGTCCCACTGTGGTGTTCAAAGATGGTGCTTGGAAACAGCTGAGACAAATTTGGCTTCTGCTCTGCCTGACCCCTCTTCTATCCCACAGGAGGCTTTGTGTGTTCCTCTTGTTGCTGCAGATTGTGAGCTTCCTGCTGCTGCTGACGAGCGATGGCCTTAACTGGGTCCTGCCACCAAAGCTGGGGGCTGCCCTTGGGAGCTGCCCAGCAAGGCCTTGGTTCTTTTGAAATCAAACTAGAAAGAGAATAAAGAAACTTGGGATTGTAGGGCACGTGAATCACCTGGTCCGTGTTACATGAGAAAAGCCACCATGTAAAGTTGTCTTTGAAGACACATGCAATGGAACAGTCAGCAAGGAAGTTGCCCATCATTTATCTCTACAGATACTCAGAGATGAACACTGTCATTACAGAGAAGTCACCAAGAAGAAATGTTCATTTTGACGTAAGGTTGGGAGCAGGGGAAGGGCTGTTCACAGCTTCACAAGTTACAAAAATCCTACTCGGTGGGATTTCAAGAGAGAGGAAAATCCTAGGTGAGCCTTCCATAGCTTTTACTGGCAATTGATTACAGGCCGTCCTTTGGCATCAGATGAATGTTACAACAAACACCGTGATGCAAATTCTCCAGGTAATCTGAAACAAACAAACCGGAGATAAGACTCAAAATAACGACCAAGCTAAAAGCATCACCAGCAGGTCCATGCTCTGCACTGTGAGGGGTGAACAGAGCAAAACAGTGAGTGGCAGAGAGACACCGTGGGGCAGCATAAGCATGTGAAGAGGCACAGGAGATGCACAAGAGGCACAGGGGTTTCTGGATCTCAGTAAGAAAGGCCTGACAAGAAATGGCCTAATAAAACAGCTGTTTTAGCCAAACAGAAGAAACAGAGGAAAAGAGTAGCTCAAATGACATATAAGGCCAGGATCTGGGTAGTGCACATGGAAAAATACCAGCATCTCACCAGATCATCTCCTGTCCTAGAAATAAAGTATACCCTCATGCAATGGAAGTTCAACAACTGAATTGCTCCATCTGCCATTTTGAAGGCTCTCAGCAGGAGAAACGCTGAAGAACTTCAGAAACTTGTGGCCTTTTCTAAGGGAAAGTGATGCCAAGGTCTCACATATTCTGCAGAGTGGTTTTAAAGAAATAAAGCCTTGCTTCTCAAACCGAGTTTCTCTCACTAATTGACAGCAGCAAAAAACATCCTTAACCACTTTATCCATTCTACAAGAGAGAGAGAGACAGTCCCTCCATTCCTGAAAGACTCCAGCATTTTTCCAAGCCAAGTGCTGCACTAAACTTGACATTTCCCACTTCGTCATATTTGTTGATAAGAGCTTCTGTAAAGTTTATGAACTTCAGTTGTACAGGATTAGCCTATACCATTCTTAGTGCTTACGCAGGATTCCCAAACCTGCTGCTGTGTCAGAAAGGAGGCGTTTGCTCTCATACAACATCCAAAGGCAGCCTTCTGACTATGCACGCTTAACTATTTGTTTCAAAAGGCCAGGACACTGCGCATGGATCGCGCTGCTGCTACTGGGGAACAGCTGCGGAAGCTGTAGGAGCACCATGGCGCGGGACTGCAGCCCGTGCTGCAGTATCGAGTTCTTGACATGGGGCGGCAGCACCCGGTCATGCAGAGGCGGCGGGGTGAGCAGCGAGCGCTCCGCAGCGCAGGTTACACCCTCGGGGACCGCAACTAGTTATTAGAGAGACAGGGCTGACGCTTCTCCACCCCTTTCCAGCTCCGGCTCCGACAGTGTTGCCTCCACACCAAAAACCGGATCAGGCCTTTGCCTCTGACAACAGGACAAGGCTGGAGCTGTTCTGGCCATGCTCCCCAAGCCGGGAAATCAGAGACACGTTCCCGGACTAGGTGCTGCTCAGCGGATGACCATAGAGAGCTGGGCCTTTCGGCTGTGCTGTGAAACGGGGCGGGACTCTGCGGCCCTTGCCAGTGGGATAGGGAAGAGAACCAGAAGGCTACAGGGGAGAAAACGCTTGCCTTGGAGAGAAGAAACAGTTTACCAACCACCCCTATTAGCCACCCACCACAAAAATCCCAAACGGGATGTTTTTTCTCCCCAGAAATTTGTGTGGGTATTGAAACTGATGTGGCCTACTGTGTACAGGGGGGTTGTACAAGGGGGTTAGACAAAATGTACAGGGGGGTTGTACAAGGGGGTTAGACAAAATGTACAGGGGGGTACTGCTTAAGTCATAGCTGGTTTAACAAGCTCAGCAGATGTCTTATCAGGCAGTACCAGAACAGAACCTCCTAATGAGAAGAATAGGGGGGCTTGTACAAGGAGTACTGCTTAAGTCATAGCTGGCTTGACAAGCTCAGCAGATGCCTTATCAGGCAGTACTAAGATAAAGCTTCCTAACGAAGGGAATAGCTCATTAAACCAGTTAGACATAGACCAGACCCATCCAGCTCCTAAAAGAGCATGCGTGAGGACCAGAGGTAAAAAGTTCAAGCCTGAGGAAGACTCGTTTACTTCATCTTGAAGACCCCTACCCACAAGAGGAAGACTACTTACTTCATCTGAAGACCCCTGCCCAAGACCACCAGGAGTCACTGCGCATGCGTGGAGAACCTTTTAGCTCATTATAATACGAAGCGGGGATAGAATATGAATATGTATGACTTTACAGGATAAATGTAGAAGAAAAACGGCACTAAGACACACATGCCTTTTGGAGGACCAATCCCCTGTGCGTCTTCAGCTGAACAAAGCATACCTACTTTACAACTTTAACGAAGTTGTGGAGTCTATTCCGCTATCAGGTATCTCCCTCCCCCCGGCCCCCCCTCCCCCCCCCCCAACCTTGCAGATCTAGAATCAATTGGATCTGGAGCATTTTGGGGCCTTTTATATTGTGAATTTGTCCTCTCTGGCCAGGGCCTTCAAGACCCTGGACATACATTGCCAAAGAACTAATATCGCTGAAAATTAAATGCTGGGATCAGGACATCTTTTTGACCTCATTGTTAATTCACCCAGAAGCTTGGCTGCTGTGCCCTGATGAATTGGGCTGCTGGCCTTCAGTGAAATAGCTTTGATGTGGGACAGTGATGTGACCAGACACCAGGTTGTCCTCTCTCAGAGTTAACAGTGGAGAAAGCAGCTCTGAAACTATAAGAAGAAAGGCAGATGCAGAACTTCGTGTTAAAAAACAGTGCAGGTGCTCCTCAGAGAGTCTGCATACAGAGATACATGCATCTGAGAGCCCAGGAGTCTCACACAAGAAGACCCTGTTTATGTGAATTTTGTGGTTAAGCCTCATAAATTGCCAGGTGCCACCTGAATTTGAGAGTGCTGTATTCTTTTTAGTTGAAGTAACCTGTGGTTAGGACCAGGGTGGTACTGGGAATTTAGAAGGACAGGGATAAGTGAGATAAACAGCTTTACAGTGGCTTTTAGAAGAGGGAACACAGAAAGAGCAAGAGCATGCAGGAGGGAGAGCAAGCTTGACATTGGGAGCAAACCGGGCAGACGTTGCAGCAGCCTCTACAAACTGACAGTGAGCTAAAGGTAGGCTGGCAGTACTAATGACAGCATCCCAGATACTCATAGGACATAGTGTCAATTCCTTCTCTTGGTTTAATGTGCATGTCAATGATTTTATTTTATATGTGCTTCCTCACCTTAGAGGTTGTTCTGTTCATTTTGGTCCTCATTGATGTAAGAGTACGGCAATCTTGCTTGTCTTCAGAAATGTATGAAACACTGGGATCTGGGAAGAAAAGGGATTTCCTTTCCCTTTTCAAGAAAAGGGTGATACTGAACATAAGCAACCATGGCTGGAGTTCATGCCTGCAGTTCACTCTTGAAGAATCCGAGTGGAGTGAGCAGGGAGAAGAAAGATTATTCACTGTGACCAGGCTGGATTGTGAGGAACAGCAGGGAACTGCATTGCAGACACTGATATTTAGCAGTATAGGCAGGTGAATGGAGCAGTGCAGGCAGGTGGCTACAGTGATATGGGCAGCTTGTTCTCAGTGGGACAAAATGAAGAAGAGCTGGGAAGAAAAAAAACCTAAATTTTAGTTGCCAAGGCCTAATGAATGATTTTGAAGTTACACACAGCTCATAAGGAAAGAGCTGAGCAGACTGATATGTCATTTTGGGTCTGGAGCTTAATTAAAGCATGTTGTTCTTTGCCAGTGGGCTTTGAAGGACTGTACTGAAATTATGCTTTATTGAAAGATTATAAATGAAATAATCTCAAAAGCACCTTGGGCATCATTGCTTTAGACCATAACTTGGATGTATTTCTTATGAAGTATGTCTTTTGAATAGATACTGCAGTGAGATTTATAGCAAGTTACGTTAATCGCTATGTGGCAATATAGTCAGTTTAAGAAACCTCAGCCATACCCACATCATTTTTAGTTCTAGTATATAGTCCTAATGTATATAGTTTTCCTAATTTTTATTACTTACACCAAACAGATTGGTAAAACTAAAATATATCAGAGAGCATAACTGAATCTTCTCTACTCTGCTTACTTGGCATTTCTCATAGCCTCGTAATAAAAAATAGGCTAGTCACTTCTATTCTTTCTACACAATTTTGTTTTCGAAATCTGATGCTGTAGCAAAAAGTTTCAGTGTTTGAGGTGAGAGTCTTGTCTTTACTTTTATACAATACCATATTTCCAAGGCAACCACACTGATATTCCTTTTGGCTTTACCTTTGAAAGCTAAAATTGCAGTCAAATTTGAACAGACTTTTTTTTTCTTTCCAGGACCAGTAATCATTACAGAGAGAGTTCTCAAGAGGGTACTTCAACAGACAACTAACTTAAAATATATGAGTATTCCTTCTAGAGCAAATCTGCAGCCAGTGTAAATGGCCTCATCTCCTTTAGTGTCCAGGGAACTGTAGCACTTTCATTTTCATATAATAAAAGCACCAAACTTTCAGAATGTAATTCTGTTGTCTGTAGTAACTTTACTTACTATAAGCTTAGTCAGCTATAAGAAGGATGGGGCAGATTTGGCTGTTCAGACCAGACGACTAATGGCTTGATATAAGATGTATTGGTGATCGAATAGACATTTGTGTGCCTCAGGATAAAAGTCAAAACTCATTCTGGTGCTTATATGAGATACTGAGTGGGCAGCCACGTCTGGGCCTCTCAGTTCAGTAGTTGTTTTGGATGAGTAGCTCACTGTCAAACCATTTCTCAGTTAAAGTGATTAGAACTGTTCTATTTAAAGCCATGGGATCATTATTCATTTTTGAAGATAAGCTAACTTACTGCTTCTTTCTCTCTCTCAGGTGATTTGGTTTCTGCCAGATTGCAGATGTCAGTAGCACCACAAATGGACCTGCCTGAAGAAATTCAGCATCTGTATACCAATTTTTCTGAATGGAAATTCAAGCTGTTTAAAGTGAGATCATTTGAAAAACTGCCTTCTGATGACATAAACACAGGGAAGGCAGAAGAAGTTGCTTCTTCAAGCAAAGAAATCATACTGTGTAAAGATGAAGCAGTGCCAAGAGGAGAAAACACGGACTTAATGGGCAATAGGCAGGTACTTGAGAATGATGACAAAAACATGAAAACACAGGACAATAAAGCTCATCAGAACAATCTGAAGCAACTTTGCCGCATCTGTGGAGTTTCATTTAAAACTGATTGTTACAAGAGAACTCACCCAGTGCATGGGCCGGTGGATGATGAAACTCTGTGGCTTCTGAGGAAGAGAGAGAAAAAAGCAACCTCTTGGCCAGATCTTATCTCTAAGGTTTTTAAGATTGATGTGCGAGGGGATGTTGATACTATCCATCCCACTCGATTCTGTCATGACTGTTGGAGCATTATCCATAGAAAATTCAGTAATACTCCATATAAAGTATGTTTTTCTAGGAACAGCACGAAGGAGTGGCAACGCCACTCTTCAAACTGTGATGCGTGCCACACTACCCGTCAGGGAGTCAAGAGGAAAAGTCAGCCACCCAGTGTACAATATGGCAAGCCTGCGAAAACTGTTGCAGAATGTGCTCAAATAAACAGAAATGTAAAGAATCAAGCACAGATAAACAAAAAATTAATGAAAGAGATTGTCAGTTGCAAGAATATACATCTCAGTACCAAGCTCCTTGCAGTTAATTACCCCATAGATTTCATTAAATCTATCTCTTGCCAGATCTGTGAGCATATTTTGGCAGATCCAGTGGAAACATCATGTAGACACTTGTTTTGCAGAACCTGCATCCTTGAATGTTTCAAGGTTATGGGCAGCTATTGCCCCTCCTGCTGGTATCCTTGCTTTGCTACTGATCTGATCACCCCAGTGAAATCCTTTCTGAACATCCTTGATAATCTGGGTATAAGATGCACTGTAAAGGAATGTGAGGAAGAGATCTTGCATGAAAAATATGGTCAACACCTCTCCAGCCACAAGGAGATGAAAGATAGAGAGCTCTACAGGCACATAAATAAAGGTGGCCGACCAAGGCAGCATCTCCTGTCTTTGACCAGGAGAGCTCAGAAACATCGTCTGAGAGAACTGAAGCATCAAGTCAAGGTTTTTGCTGAGAAAAAAGAGGGAGGTGATATAAAATCTGTATGCATGACTTTGTTTCTGCTAGCTTTAAGAGCAAAAAATGAACACCGACAAGCAGATGAATTGGAGGCTATAATGCAAGGGAAGGGATCTGGACTTCACCCTGCGGTCTGCTTGGCAATTCGAGTCAACACGTTTCTCAGCTGTAGCCAGTATCATAAAATGTACAGAACAGTAAAAGCTGTCACTGGAAGGCAGATCTTTCAGCCTTTGCATGCTCTTCGCACTGCTGAGAAAGCCCTACTACCAGGTTATCATCCATTTGAGTGGAAACCTCCCTTGAAAAATGTATCCACTAACACAGAAGTGGGAATTATAGATGGACTATCAGGATTGTCACTCTCAATTGATGACTACCCAGTAGACACAATTACAAAGAGGTTTCGGTATGATGCAGCCTTGGTTTGTGCCTTAAAGGACATGGAGGAGGAGATCTTGGAAGGCATGAAAGCGAAAAACCTGGATGACTATTTGAATGGTCCCTTCACTGTGGTAGTGAAAGAGTCCTGTGATGGAATGGGAGATGTCAGTGAAAAGCATGGAAGTGGGCCTGCTGTCCCAGAGAAGGCTGTTCGCTTTTCTTTCACAGTCATGAACATTGCTATAGCACATGGGAATGAAAGCAAGAGGATCTTTGAAGAAGTAAAGCCCAATTCAGAGCTGTGTTGCAAGCCCTTGTGCCTTATGCTGGCTGATGAATCAGATCATGAAACTCTGACGGCAATCCTGAGCCCCCTCATAGCAGAAAGAGAGGCTATGAAAAACAGTGAACTGCTACTTGAAATGGGAGGCATCCTGAGAACATTCAGATTCATCTTTAGGGGTACAGGGTATGATGAGAAACTTGTGCGGGAAGTGGAAGGGCTGGAGGCCTCTGGTTCCACTTACATTTGTACCCTGTGTGACGCAACCCGTCTGGAGGCATCCAAGAATGTGGTCTTCCACTCCATAACCAGGAGCCATGGTGAAAATCTGGAGCGATATGAAATATGGAGGTCCAACCCATATCATGAATCTGTTGATAAGCTCCGTGACAGAGTAAAGGGTGTTTCAGCCAAACCTTTTATAGAGACCATTCCCTCCATAGATGCGTTGCACTGTGACATTGGAAATGCAGCAGAATTCTACAGGATTTTCCAGATGGAGATTTGTGAATTTTTTAAGAATCCTGATGTGTCTAAAGAGGAGAGGAAGAGGTGGCAGTTGGCACTTGACAAACACCTCAGGAAGAAAATGAACTTGAAGCCTATGATGAGGATGAGTGGAAATTTTGCTAGAAAGCTCATGTCCAAAGAGACAGTAGAGGCAGTATGTGAATTAATAAAGTGTAAAGAAAGGCATGAGGCCCTAAAAGAACTAATGGACCTTTATCTGAAGATGAAGCCAGTGTGGCGATCCTCATGCCCTGCTAAGGAATGTCCAGAATTGCTGTGCCAGTATAGCTATAATTCACAGCGTTTTGCCGAGCTCCTATCTACAAAGTTCAAGTACAGGTATGAAGGCAAGATTACAAATTATTTCCACAAAACCCTTGCTCATGTTCCTGAAATCATTGAAAGAGATGGGTCCATTGGGGCCTGGGCAAGTGAAGGAAATGAGTCTGGAAACAAACTGTTTAGGAGGTTCCGAAAAATGAATGCCAGGCAGTCCAAATGCTATGAGATGGAGGATGTCTTGAAACATCACTGGCTATATACCTCAAAGTACCTCCAGAGGTTCATGAATGCCCATAAAACATCAAGAAAACAGGGCTTCACCACTGATCCAGAGGATACTTTAGGTGACTCCGTGCCACTGGATAGCTTGGAAAGCAATGATTCAGGGGAAGTCTAAATGTAAAGGAGCATTTGTTGTTGGGTTTATAATGGTGTTTTCCTGCAAGGAGGCAGCTTCTTTTTCAGGCCTGTAGAGCTACAGGGAAGTGTGAAAATATAATTTCTCCACTCCTTTTTAAAGGTGCTGAGTGGAGTTAAGCACCATGTCTGTTGGGATTTTCCAAGAGGCAATGCATTATGTGTTGTGTGTTGGTATCTGGTAACCCATGTGTCATGTGAGATGAAAGCAGGAACAAATTGAAAAGAAGGGTCTTCAATTTATTTTGGTCTTAACATGTTGCTTAGAAGTGAGACAGCCAGTGTAAACAAGGTTTATATGAAGTAGCATTTTGGAATGAATATGTTTGTGGGGAGTTATGACAGTTGCTGAAAAAGGGAGCAGGCTGTTTGTTCTTAAAACTATTTTGCTTTTTACTTTTTAAGAGGGTTTGATTATTTTATTAACAGTCCCTTGGCTTTTATAAGTAAAGGTTCATCAGTAAGAAATTTTGGTATTTGTTTGGGGACAAAGTTCACTTATTTTTGTATAAAATGCTGAGTAAAGATGCAAAATTTGATCTCACACACTTTAAAAAATATTATTTAACATTTCTATTGTAGTATGCTTAGGAGCAGATGGTGGTATCACAGTGCTCATTTCCTATATGAAGATAGAGGAAAGGTAGCTGGAATTTCTTAAAGATATTTTTATCATAAATAATGCAAACTAAAATGCAAACTCGTGCTCCTAAATCGGGATTGACAGTGCTTTGTGGTTGGTTATTTCACTATAAAAGTACATTCAAGCTCTGCTGTGAAGCTTGGTGCTTTACAAGCATTTTAGATTTCTATGGTAACTTTGGTATAGTTTGTATTAGTATTTGTATTTGTATTAGTGAATTCCTGGTGTCCCTGAAGTCACCAGTAAATTGTAATTAAAACCAGCAGGCCCACAGTTTCCCCAAATACCTTTAGTCACAGCAGACCCATTTCTCAGGAGGTGGATATTACCTTGATCAGATACATGCCATTGTTCTGATCTTCTCTATTAGGGTATTTCACTGACCGCTACTGATGTCCTCCAGTTGTATCCAACGTTGAGCTTTTCCCATCTGTGATACACCACACTCATAGTCTCATTTTCCAAATCATAAAAGAGGAATGGTATTTATTAACCTCAAGGATAGCTGGTGTACAAGATGAGTTAAAAAGCAAATTGTCTTGAGATTACTGCATATTGTATTTCATGTTATTACAGAAGTGTTTAGTAGGCATTCCTCCTTCATACTGTATTAGTTGAATAGTTTTGCTGGTTGTATTTGCCTTTCTGAAGTGGTATCTAGTATATTAATATACTAAATTTATCTGACTTTAATTCAATATTAATAGAATAATAGAATAATAGAATGATTTGGGTTGGAAGCTCATCCAGTTCCAACCCCCTGCCATGGGCAGGAACATCTTTCACTAGACCAGGTTGCTACAAGGCACGTCCAACCTGGCCTTGAACGCTGCCAGGGGTGGGGCAGCCATAGCTTCTTTGGGCAACCTGTGCCAGTGCCTCAACAACCTCATATTCATGAAATATACTCAGAAGTACCTGAAATGGACTGAAATCATCTAGCCTTTCAGCTCTGCACCTGTACCTAGGGCATTACTGTGCTTGGAGCAATCTTTCTGAAGCAAGATTAAATGCAGAAACAATCAAAGCATGGATCTAAACGAATCTGCTTTTCATTTTCATTTTGATGTGGCAGAAGTTGTTTTATGAATGTAAGTTAACAGCAACTTAATGGTCTGAGATTAGTAGTATCTTGTTCATGTTACTTACTATATCCTTGAGGGTCTGGTATTTACCATTTATGCAATGAAAAAATAAAGTGTTAGCAAGTAGTACCAATATTGATGTTATTATGTCTTGATTTTCTTAATTAAAGTATTTTTAAAGTTTTCTGTGATTTAGGATTTTATTTTTATATGGTTTCTTTAAACATAGTTTAATATTATGTCAAAATTTGCAGTTTGAAATAATACTTTTTACTTAAAACATGTACTTTTTAAGCAATTAGAAGGACTACAACATCTTTTGTATAGAGTGACACCTACATCTGCACTTACAAGTGTTCATTTCTACATTAATTTACATTTTTTCAATTCTTGGAATAAAACAGGTATTTCCCATACAGCATAAATACTAGCTTTCCATGAGAATCATTCTTTACAAACCAATGCAGGCAACAAATACAGCTGTTTCCCAGGGAGTATAAATATCAGGTATAAATAGCACCCTTTACCAGTAAATGCATATATAATTTGCATTTTTGGCTGGCATATACTTCATTATGCAAGTAGTTGCACACTTTTCTTTTTCCTCTGTATGTAGATTTGGGACAACCTTATGCGTTACCCTTGGTTTTTCCTGACTAACCAAGGGCCTGGTTTAACAACCCTGACTCACCTCACAGTGATTTTCACTCCAAATGGTGTATAGGGTTTTGTTGCCTTTTGCACAGGAATGAATTTCATCTCCAAGTAATCCAAACCTGTTTATTGTAATGCATATATGCTACTAGAGAGACAAACCAGACTCTTCATTTTACACGTAATTTCAGTGCCTCTGCTAACATTTTTAAATTCCAAGTTTGCTTTAACAAGCTGCTGATGTAACAGCAAGTGAATCATCTCACTGCCTTCAAAAGGCTGAGTAAGTAATATCCATACATGTATGATTTTTCAAGATGAGGCTTATATCCTGGGGTAACTCATCAGACTAAGGAGAATCTGGATGGGAACAGAGGAATGCAGTGGCATGTGGAAATACTCTTTTGTGAAATATTATTAAGCCATCAAGAGACATTTCACATTCTACAGCTGTGGGCGGGATAGCTGACACAAAGAACTGCTTTTTTTTTCACCTTTTCTTTTGGCTTGAATTTAGTTTAATCTTCTTTTTCCCCATTGTTGACATCTTCTATGAATGAAGAATCTCTCTTGAGAATTTTGAAGTCTTTAGAACAATCAGCACTGGAAGGGTAGGTACCTGCAAGTAATGCTTTTGTAAGTGGTGATCAAATAATGATGCTGCACGCACACAGCCATGCATCAAAGGGCAAACAAATTCTGACTCTGAACAGGTGCATCATTTGGTTATACAGTATGATGTTGAACTTCTGATTTTGAAAAGGCTTTAGAAAAACAGAGACACTTTTATTGGTGGTACTCTTTCAAATAACATTTTCATTTCTACATTAATACTTGGTACAAATCCTTGAGTAATTAATGGTAAATAATTTCTTGTTCTGAAATGTTGACTGTAGTTTTTATACGGTCATATGTATCTTCGTTTTGTTTGGTTTTATTCAATGGCTTTCTATTGTGAATTGCCATGTTATGAAACACTGTGAACTATGTTAGAAGCCATGATTCTGGTCTCACTTATTTTTTCCTCACAGGAATAATTTTACTGACTTCAAGCACATCAGCTTTGAATTTTAGTCATATAGTTCAGAAAAAAAAATTGAGATATTTACAGCATCCTAATTTCTGACTACACTGAGTTCTGTGCTTTGCCTCACTACATGGCTTCATTATTTTAATTTTCTTAATGTATTGCAGTTTTTTAATCCATGAAACCTATTTAAGATAAAGGTTTTATTGATATTTATGTTTTTGCCTTTGCCTTTCTTACTGCTTTTTCAACTGTGCACATGATTTCATGGTATCAGTCTTACTTTTCATTCAAATTGTGTATGCTATTCATATTTAGGCTGTTCTAATACCCAGAGTCAGCTGTGATTCCAGCCCTGTTTTTGAAATTCATTAGATTAACCAAATAAAGATTACTCTGTGACTTTCAGCAGTCCTGTCAGCACCCTTCCTCACAGGCAACTGTTTGATAGAAAACTAATTTAAATCAGTTTTATTTTGTCTGTACATGACTTTTGCTTCATTTACAAATACCATCTCTCTGTTTGAAATCAGCCTTGCGCTTAATAGCTATGGACATAATTGTCCATGCTGATACCTTAACCCTCTTTACTGGCTTCTGTGCATCCTTTGCATCAAATTTTAGCTCCTCACCATAGACTGAACTGTAAAGATTAGCTCTTATCTATCTTTCAGTTTATTATTTGTAGCTTCTCTTTATTACAATTCAGAAAGTCATAGAATCATAGAATCACAAAATTGTTTGGGTTGGAAGGGACCTTAAAGGTCATGTAGTTCCAACCCCCTGCTACGGGCAGGCACATCTTTCAGTAGACCACTTTGCTCCAAGCCCTGTCCAGCCTGGCCTTGAACACTACCAGTGTATGTACTGAGAAATCAGACGGTTTATATGATTACCGTCTTGCTTTTTTAAAAGCAAAAATAGACTTCTGTGTCACAATTTTCAGAGGTGAAGGACAGACACCAAATTGGTGTTTGATGTTCAGAGGTTGTTGCTCAAGCCCTTCCCAGAAGTTAGTCTTGTCTGAAATGGGATAGAGTAGGAAATAAAACCAGGAGGGAGCTGTAGCCAGATGCAGTCAGTCAGATGCAGATACAATAGAGCTTTATTTCTGCACTCATATCTACTTCATTTTATCTTCTAATTCAAAATTGCCTGAGGAAGAAACATCTTCTATTGAGTAGCTGCTTTTGAAGATAATCAATGCTCTAACAAGTATATGACTCAAAAGTGTCATCAGAATTACCAGGGAATTAAGTACCTTCTTCAGCCTCAAATGCTATGTCAGATGTCTTTTTCACAGGCTAATGTTCATGTATCTCCTTGAGTCCTTTGGAATATTATATTTTGCTTTACTTATGATTTTTTTCTGCCTGCAGTGACTACAGTCTCTGAGCTGTGATTTAATGCCCTTTATTGGGAGGCTCAGATGTGGTTTGACAAAGCAATTTCTCCATCCTGCTCAAATAAACCATTAAAAAACTCTACAGTTTAAGCTTACAATAAACTAATGGTATGTGCCTGATGAGGAATATTGTAAAGATTGACTCTGAATTGTCATAGCCACAGCCTTAAAGTAAAGAATGACAGATAAGAATTCGAAGGCGCCGTAATGTGGGCTTCTGTTTGCAACATGCTCTGAGCTCCTAGGGACTGCAGAAGTCAGTTCTGGAAATAAAGAGATGCTCCCAACATACTGCAACCATGCCACCAGTGCCTGAGCCACCAGACATTATCTCAGCTTGAACGTCACTTCATAGAATCATAGAATGGTTTAGGGTAGGAAGGGACCTTAAAGCTCATCCAGTTCCAAGCCCCTGCCATAGGCAAGGACACCTTTCACTGGACCACGTTGCTACAAGCCCTTTCCAACCTGGCCTTGAAAACTGCCATGGATGGAGCAGCCACAGCTTCAGTGGGCAACCTGTGCAGGGCCTCACCACCCTCACAGGGAAGAACTTCTGCCTAAGAGCTCATCTCAATCTCTCCTCTGTCAGGTTAAAGCTATTCCCCCTTGTCCTATTCCTACAGGCCCTTGCCCAAAGCCCCTCTGCAGGTTTCTTGTAGCCCCTTTAGGCACTGGAAGCTTCTCTAAGGTCTCCCCAGAGCCTTCTCTTCTCCAGGCTGAACAAGCCCAACTCTCTCAGCCCGGCTCCAGAGCAGAGCTGCTTCAGTCCATGGAACATTTCTGCACTGGTACAGCTTATGTGGGGAGTCTTTTGTTGTACAATGGTGAAGGGATGGGGGGTGGAGTTTTGTTGTTTGAGTATATTGTCTACCTTTGTTGCTTTTGTGATGTTGTAGCTTCAGTTTCATCATGAGTTTTCTTTTTTGTTTGATGCAAATGAAGTCTATGAAAAATGCATGATGAATGAATATTTTAATGACAATTCTGCTCAGTAAGAGCTGTGACTAACCTACAAAAGGGAATGGGGATGATAATTTAATTTCACCAGTTTGAAGGGACTTTACATGGGTATGATACTCATTTATTCCTTGGAAAACATATAAAAAACCTCTATTCAGATCTTACGTAAAGTAGCATGGCAAAGAAAACAGCTGGCACTGAAATCTGCAAATTTATACCAGTATCAGACTGGTGAGATGACAGTGAACATGGTGGAGGTGAATACTTCCCATTTACAAGCTCTACCTGAACTATAAGCTCCCTCAGCAGATGAAAAGGTTGGAAAAAGAATCTTTATATGGTTGACTTTTACTTCCCTCTGCTGTTGAGTTGTGAAGGTTTTAAGGGGAGTACTGTGCATAAATGACTGTTCATAGGAATACTGTGCTGCACATACTAATTTGTAAAGGCATGGCTGCTCAGAGACTGCACATAGTGATCAAATGGCTGACAGCTACTCTTGGTTTTCTTTTCTATATGGGTGTCCAGCATGAGAGCTGGATTGTGTATACTGAGCTATTATTGTTGGCTCACAAACGAGCTGATGGTATAGATTTTTGGAAAAGATGTTTGGAGCAGTAATAAAAATAAAAAAATAAAGTGATGAGGCTTTATGAATAGGCAGTAAAAGAACCCACAGAAATCTTAGTAAACTCTTGGGCTATTCAACCTTGACAATATCCTTTTCAATCTGAATCCAATCTTGTGCTTTGAGAAGCCAGCTGCATTTGTTCCCACCCTCACAGTGGTCCACTGGCTCAGTGAAATGCTCTGACCTGCAGCTTGCACTTTTAAGCTTTCACACTCTACACAGTCACCCTGGGAGAGCAGAGAAAGAAATGCATAGGGGAGGAGCTGGAGTAAATTATAAAAGTCCTGTTCATCAGAAGGACCTTCTGAAGTCAGTAGGAGCTCATAGAGTGGGGTGGATGTGAAGCTAGACCCCTTACCAGGCTTCAGATGGACCTCCTAAGCACACATGCTGTCCTTTTGTAGATTTTGGGATTTACAGTGCTTGATTTACCCCATGTGTAGGTGAAAAAAATTCAATAACTTGTATTATAAACTTTATTAGCTTACTAGCTTTTTAAAAATACGAAGAAGTTGTTGAGTACAGTGGTTTAAAAAAAGGGTTTGATTTTTATTATGAGATGATATTCCAGAACTGTAGTCAAAACTGACATATAATCATTCAATACATGGGGTAATATTCTACCAGCAGTTCCATTAAACTCACTGGGGATAATGAGGGGGTAATTTGTGCCATAAAACACAGAACACAGTTACCAGCATCTGGCTGTGTGTTTGCACAGTGCCCTCTGTGATGGGGTTCCTATCTGGATGTTATAAAAATACACACAAGAAACGAAATAAATTCATGAGCTTTGAAATGCAACTGAAATATTGAGATAATGGAAATCAAATAACCAGTTCTATTTCAACCATTACCAGCTGTCTCTGTGATTTCACTTCCTTCCAGGTGAATACAAACCAGCAGAGTAAATCTATTAAAACAACCTCCGAAGAAAGGGCTTTTTCGCTGGTGATGTTAACTTCATGGTTGTCTTTTTGCGCAGTGGTTTCATGGGTTGTTTTTTCAGGGGCACCACCTTTTGGGGAGTTTGTAGCCCTTTATTAATGTCAATGTGCTCATTGCAGAAGTACTTGACATTTGCTTCTGAGAGATGCAGAAGCATGGTCTCTGAGAGATCCATACATTGAGCATGGACCCAGTGGCCAGCCCCGCTGGAACAGAGGATCATAGCAGGCTTGTTGAATTCTGTTGAATAGAAAGGGACCCAGGTGTTATTGTCAATATTGCAACTGGCAGAGCAGGTGATCCAGTAGCCTGTTTCTGATTCATCTTCATCATCTTCATTGTAAGTGTCAGTATCAAATCTATTGGCTTCAGCACTCAAACAAAACTCTTCAGAATCTTCAGATGGAGTGGAGTCTTTAGGGTCTTCAGTTGACGTCTGACTGCAAATTTGTGCTGTCAGTTCTTCTTTCTTGTCCTCTTCTCCTTTGCATCTCAAAATGTAGAAGTAGTTTGCATCTGAGATTAACTGTTTGTTGGTCCCTGGAATGCCCAGCAATACAGACCCTTTGCCCATATCACTGCCAAACCACATCCTGCAGTGTTTAATATCTGGTGTCCAGTCTGGGCTCTCCCTTTCAACAATCTGTATATTACTGTCTTCCAGAACTATGGTGTTACATACCAACCGTTTCAGGTTCTCAGACTGGTATCCCCCAACAAGGACAAATTCGGTGTCACTGGTTTGAGTCACTATAGCACTCGACACAGATATCCCCCCTGGCAAGATGGTGCAGGTCACGGCTGGGCTGCCCAGCGGGAGATCAACTTTTAGCTTGTACAAGCTGGGGGACCTGGTGTTATTTTGAAGTGAATGGCCTCCCAAAATGTATATTGTATCATTTCTGGCAACTGAAACATGGAAAGCAAGTCCATCCTGAAGCTCTGGAAGTATGTATGAGGTACAGCATCCCAACTCAAAATCAACCAGAAACACAGATGGCAAACAGTCAACTACACTGTTCCATTTTTCAGTGGTTCTTTGTGCAAGAGGAATATATGATCTCCCTCCAAATATAACGCTCATGCTTTTTCCCTGACTATGAACTATGTTAATTGTATGCCCGTATCTAGCTTCAGGGACATCTCCATCCAGGTCTTTCTCAATACATTGAAATGTGGTTTTCTTACTATTTTTGCTTATCAGACTCATAATATAAATCTTATTCGAAAGGTCATTGTTAGGTGTTTTTCCACCATGGATGATATACTGGTACTCATCAGACTCCATGTTGCCTCTGAGCTTGCAAATGGCAGGGTAGCGGAGAGGGGGCAGGTAACAGGAATCATTAGAGAATAAGGCAGGTTTCATTTTGAGCTCATTCTCCTTTATATCGAGGAGGAAAACACCAGTAGGACAAGACCTCTTTGGCCATCCTTTCTGCCCAAAAAGGAAAGTGTGTCCATCAAAATTCAGGAGAGAGAAGCCTGGCTGAAGCAGCGATGAATTACTGACCGCTGATACTACCTCCAGCAACATTTTGTCTGCTGACTGGGCCATATTTGGTTCAGTAGCTGAGGAAAACAAACACAAAGAAGCAGATTAAATATGCTTTTGACACTGTTGTAAGAATTGTTAGCAGTGCTTGAATAGTGAGTTGTTTAGCAGGGCTTAAATAGTGTTGAAGTTGTGTTACCGGTTCACACTTTGAGACCCTAAAAGACACCCTTTCCTACGATTCAAGGCATGAATCAAGGTGAGACGTGTGCAGTTCCGCAGGATTTTGTACGAACTACAGCCCGCTAACTCCTAACATCCTAATGCTGCAGAGCCTACCGCCTCTGGGCCCTCCTCTCGGCTCTGGGACGGAGAACCGCCCCGCTCCGGGCCCGCCTGCTGCCATGGAAACGGCGGACCCGCGGCCTGCTGGGGTTGGTAGTTGTCTGAGGCTGGTAGCTGTCGCATGAGGCCGGCCTAGCTGCGGTCCTCAGGAAACGGGTTTGGAAGCTGTTAGCGGGCAGGAGGCGGGTGAGTGTGGCCCCGGGGCGGAAGGATTAAAAGTCTGGTGTGACCGGTGACACGAGGCGGTTTTTTTCCCTGCCTTCTCTCTCCCCGAGACTGCCGGCAAACCGGGGAGGAAAGTTGAGCAGGACCCCTGGGGCCGTCTGTGCTCCGCAGGCCGTCTCAGCAGGCAGCACAGGATCTGCAAGGGAACAGAACCGGGGTTGTTGTTGATCCTGGAGTAGAGAAGACTCCAGGAGACCTTAGAGCAGCTTCCAGTGCCTAAAAGGGTTACAGGAAACCGGGAGAGGGGCTTTAGACAAGGGCCTGTAGGGACAGGCCAAAGGGGAATGGTTTTAACCTGACAGAGGGGAGGTTGAGACAAGCTCTTAGCAGAAGCTCTTCCCTGTGAGGGTGCTGAGGCGCTGGCACAGGGTGCCCAGAGAAGCTGTGGCTGCCACCTCCCTGGCAGTGTTCAAGGCCAGGTTGGATGAGACTTGCAGCAACCTGGTCTAGTGGAAGGTGCCCCTGCCCATGGCAGGGGCTTGGAACTGGATGAGCTTTAAGGTCCCTTCCAACACAAACCTGTCTGGAATTCTGTTTTGCAGGTTTACAAGAAAGATACCAAAATTTACTGAAGACATGTAAGAGCAGTCAGTGCTAACTGTATTTCTAACTGTATAGGTAGGTATCTTGAAGCAGCAGCTTTTAGTGCTGGGGTGAATCTTGAACACTTACGCTGAACTGCCTGTTCGAAGTGAATTTGTTGCTTGGGAGTCTTGCTGCCAAGTGTTTTCAGTGTGAACAAATTCTGTATCGTTGATGTTTGCTGCTCACTTATGCTTTCATGGGTAGGTTTCAAGGTGTATCTTTTACCTTTTTTTACCTCTTTGTTCAAAATCTGAAAGAGTTTGTAGTAGTCAGCCTGGATAATAACACTGGAAGAGCTTCAGAAAGCACAGACACAATGGAGGGAAACAACTGGCTAGTTCATTGGCACAGTCCCTTGGTGACAGCTTAGTTGTGCCTTGTAGTAAATGTCCAGGTTCACTGTCCCAGCCTTTGCCAAATCCCTAGAACTTAAAAGCATGCACTAGCTTTCAAATACAGTATTTGAAAACAAACAAAAAATCCCAACAATGCTCACATTTTAAAATACAGTTCCATGTTTTGAAATCTGTAGGATTCATATTTTCCTTGCTCCTGCTTTTCATTTTGCTCTAACAACAAAAACGGGGCACATAGTGTTTCTTTTTTAAGGCAAGATTGGTGTCTTCTACTTGTGTGACATCAAAACCTGAGGACTGTGAAAAAACACAGTGTACTGTGTAAACCTATGGGAGCTGAGGATACTGACTACATCAGATTGCCATCAGTGCATGTTCTTGTGCACAGCAGGAGCTGTTGTGCTGCCTGCCTAGAATCTGATATGCAAACTGCTGTGCTAAAATACAGTTCTGTCAGTATACATGTCAGGTTTTGGTTTTATTATTTGCATGAAGAAAGATTTGCCCAGTTATTTACTCTCAGGTGATATGCTAAACAGGAATCTCTGATGCTTGTTTCTTATAAACCATTAAAAATGATGTTGTTAGAGAATCTTGCACTAAATTTGGTTTGCTGAGTTAGATTTCCTTTGTCTCTTCTTTCATACTGAGTGATTTCTTAGCTTGTTTTTACAAGATCTTTCGAAAAAGTAATATGTGTCTTCGCGGTGAAGATAACACAAGTGCATGTGTAAATAGTGCTCTGTGTTTTGTAATACTAGTATCCTACATTTGGTGGCTGGTTTATGTTTAAGGTCTAACTAGAGTATTAAAAATGTCCAGCAATTTAATTAGAATGCTGGCATTCGTCTTATATTCTTACAGATATAAATAATCTCCACATATGATAATTATGTGTCCACAATGTCCCAAACTATTTCCCAAATCTAGAGCAGTACTCAATCCAGAGTATACTGTCTGAAGAGACTGATGCATATAGACAGTGGAGAAGTGACCTCTGACAGGAGTAGCTCCTTAGGCACTTGCTGGAATTGCTTTATCTTTCCAGGTTGTTTCATGTTAATTATGATGTATTAATACAGTGTGGTTGATATTTGGTTGTGCTGTCCTGCACCTCTAACCTTCCAACGCTGCTGCTGTTCCCTCATCTGACCCTGAACAGCTTCAAGGTGGCCAAAAGGTGAAAATCTAAACTTAAAACAAAAAAATTAAGGTTTTTTTTTGGTGGCTTTAGGCTCAAAACCATGTCATTGTGGAGTCAGATTAGCATTAGTTAAAATAGCGGGGAAAAGCCACTGTCAGAATCAAAGATGGATAAATAATGAAGGGTGGAGTTACATAGACAATTACCAGTTAAGGTGACTTGAGTCATGCTTCATCATATTTATTATTTTTATAAAAGGCAAAGCTCCAAGGATTACACAAATAAGTGAGAATTCCAGCACTGTTTTTAAAACCTCCATATTTGAGAAGTGTACTGTAGAGATCTGACCTGAAAGCTAGTTTTTTTAAACAGAAAGAAGAAACTTAATATTCACCTTTATCTCATTTTAAAAACAAACATGATTTTGAGCTGGGTGTTTTCAAGGTGATAGTTGTTTGTCTGGCAAGAAGAGATTACAAGGTATTCGCGTTTAGATGGATTCGTTGGGAGATTTACTTACAGACTGATCAAAGAAAGAGAGGTGTTTTTTAAAGTCACTAGCTAATTTAATTGAAATGTGCTTGGTATGGAAGTAGGTGGATGTACTTCCAATTTTGTATGTAGGGTATTATTTCAGAATGTGTTTTATAGGATGAATGTGTTTTAGAAACAAAGGGTAGGATTCAGGCACCTCAATATCAAGTGACGTTTCATATGCCATGGGATATTATTGTATTCTATGGAAGGCAGCAAGTCTCCCATAGGTACTGTCTCCTAGGTCCTAGTAAATTTAAGGCTTATAAAGGTCACTACATTACTATGTTTTGGCACTGAGTCCCTTCCAAACTGTGTTTACTACTTATTGTTTTGGTTGACCCTGTGTAATAATTGTTGACCTCTGTGCTGTGCCAGTTACCTGATGAAGCAACAAAATAATTTTAACCAGGAGAGCAATAAATAATCAGGTCTGTTGTATAGCATGATTTTTCATCTTAATATTTGTTACCAATATGAAAAAAATGCTATGTTCATTGTAATTTCACAATAATCTGAATGCTACAAAATAGTGAATGATTTTATCTTATGAACTGTAGCAAACCCTAACCACATTTAATTTACACAGAGATAAAGAGTCTGAAAGAGCACTGATTGGACACTGAGAGAATGGATTACAGGATAGCACAGTCATACTTGCTAAATACTCACTGCTGACCATTAAATTCTGTCATTAGTTTGCAGTTATTTTTAACTTGGCTTAAACACAGATATATACAGTAGAATTACATTTATTTTGACAATTAAATTTAATTTGCAATGTTCTATATATATATATATTTTTTTTCTTTTACTGATCTGCAGGGTATCCCTTTGCAAAGTGAAAAAGCATACCCCTGAAAAGCAAGTGCTGTTCCCAAATTATGCACAATCAAAATAATATTCAGACACAGAGTTTTGAAGTCCTCCATAATCAGACTTAGGGAAAATTTACATAGTATTTCTGAGAACATTTGCTAAGTGTATCAACCAGGTTTGCTTTGGGCAAAACAGTAAGTTCAACGTACCTGGCTGATAGGGGTTTATGCGTCCTCCGAAATCTTTGTGTGTAGTTTGGATTCAAATGTGAGCACTTTGAGGAATCTTCTCTAACAGCACAGGGAGCTTGTGGCATAGAAACACAGCCTGACGAGGAGAATCTATCTGATGAATTTGCAGATGTGCGCTTGAGAACTCAGTCTGCTGTGGCTAACTGGCTGTGCAGTTTTTTTTACCTCTTTCCTCTCGTCTTCAGATGGAACAGCAAGAAACCCACTAGCCTCTAGAAGTTTTAACTCTTTGCAGTAGGATCAGACCAGAGTGTCAGTAGATCCCTGGTAGTTAGATTGTAAATGTATGCATCATATGCTGCATTTGCTGCAGTATAGTTTGATTTTTTACACTGTCAACCTCATGATCTTTTGGGGATTTTTCAGTGCTGTTGTAATATAAAAATGTAATCTTTAGGTTAAAAGATAATTTCAATAGCTAGTAAAAAAAAAACAACCCCTGTTGATGGGCATACTACTGCTTTTCCCAGGAATGCTCCACTGCAGGTGGGTAGTGACACTGAAACAGAGCAAAGGAAATAACAAATATATGCAAAGTACTGAGAGAGGGCTCATTGGAAGTCCAGTTCAGGGTCCACTGAGGTCATTAGGAATATCTTTTTTTATCCTTCAGTGGCCTTCTGATCAGACCTTAAAAGACTAATAAAATTTTGCACCCTTCTGTGGCATTCTTATCAGTTTCCCAGTGCTTTTCTCCAACAAAAAATTCTTAGACTCCTGTGAAGTCCTCTGGGAACATATCCTTTCAACAGCTAGCAGTGCTAGGGCACAGAGGATAAGCCATTTGCATAACATAGCACAGCAAGGAAACAGAGAAACCTGGAAACCAATTCACTTTTCATAGCTTCCTGCTTTTGTTTTCCCAGCCTTATTTC